ATAAGGGTTGGAAGACTGGAAATACCTCTAAGGGGATTATGTATCACTGGCTTGCACCTGTAAGGAGTGGACAGGAAAAGCCAAGGCCGAAACTGAGCTCAAGCTGGCTACAGGAATCAAGGACAATAAAATGTCCTTCTTCAGATATGTAGGAAGTTAAAAGAAAAATAAGGGCAACATTTGATCCCTGCTGAATCAAATGGGGCAGCTGACAACTGACACCCAGGAAAAAGCTAATCTCCTCAATGATTACTTTGCATTGGTTCTTCACCAGATCAAGGAGATCACCCTGCCTGACAGGACACAGGATTATGCAGGTATGGGTGACCATAAGCCTACATTTGGTGAAGACCTTGTGAGGGAACACTTCGAGAGGCCGGACATCCATACGTCAGTGGGCCCTGATGAAATTCACCCAAAAGTATTAAAAGAGCTGGCTGACATCTTAGCTTGAGCATTGGTGTGGATATCTGAGAACTCGTGATGCTTGGGAGAGGTTCCTGAAGACTAGAAGAGGGCCAGTATGGTGCCTATCTTCAAGAAAGGAAGGAAGGAAGATCCAGAGAACTACAGGCCAATGAGTTTGACCTCAATCACTGGGAAGATCTTGGGGAAAATTATCAAAGAATCCATCAATAACAGGCTGACAGAAGGCACCATTCTGAGAGACAGCCAACATGGCTTCATTACAGGTAGGTCATGCCTGACCAACCTCATCTCCTTTTATGGTCAGGTGATACAGCACCTGGACAGGGAGGAAAGGTTGATGTCATTTACTTGGATTTCAAAAAAGCCTTTGACTTGGTCTTCCACAATGTCCTCAAGGCAAAATTGGGGAACTGTGGCCTTGACAACCTCATGGTCTGATGGCTGGGGAACTGGCTCTGTGGTTGGACCCAGAGAGTGATGGTCAGTGGAACCAAGTCAACATGGTGCATGGTGACCAGTGGCAACCCTCAGTGTTCAGTACTCAGTCCAGTACTCTTTAATATATTCATTAATGATCTGGATTCAGACGTCAGAAGCAGTCTGGCTAAGTTTGCAGATGATACCAAATTATGGGGAAGCATGGTTACACTGGAGGATAGGCTGAGGATTCAGGCCAACTTGGACAGGCTCGCAAGCTGGATGGATATAAATCTGATGACCTTCAATATAAAGAAATGCAAGGTGCTCCACCTCAGGAGAAAGAACCCACACCATTCCTATAGGCTCAGCAGTGTTTCACTTACTAGCACCATGTCCAAAAGAGACTTGGGGGTCATAACTGACCACAAGATGAATATGAACCACCAATGTGATGCCGCAGCTAGCAAAACAAATAAAACCCTGGCTTGCATCTACCAGTGCATCTCAAACAAGACCCAAGATGTCATTCTCCCACTTTACTCAGCCTTGGTGAGGCCACAGCTGGAGTACTGCATCCAATTCTGGGCTCCACACTTTGAAAAGGACATGGAGAAGCTCAAGAGAGTCCAGAGGAGAGCCACACACATGATCAGAGGTCAAAAGAGCAGGCCTTATGAAGAGAGTCTGAGAGGCACAGGACTCTTCAGCTTGGAGAAGTGTAGGCTCAGAGGGGACTTGGTGACAGCCTATAAGTATATCAGGGGTGTACATCAGGATCTGGGAGAAGGTGTGTTCACCAGGGCTCCCCTACAGAAGACCAGGCCCAATGGCCACAAACTACTGGAAGACTGTTTTAGACTGGACATAAGGAAAAACTTCTTTACCATCTGAGTGGAATAGACTCTCCCCCCACACCCCAAAGTGGTGCAAGCACCTATTGTGGACATGTTCAAGTTGCATGTGGATGCTTATCTTGCTGGGGTGATCTGACCCCAGCTGACTTCCTGCCCTTTGGGCAAGGGGCTGGACCTGATGATCTTGCGAGGTCCCTTCTAGCCCTGATGTCTATGAAATCTGTGAAATCTAGGACACTCATGATCAGTTCAACAGTCTGTGTTCCCTTTCCATTCAAGGAAAAAGGAATATTGCTAATTCCAAATGACAGACAAACTCATAGAATCATAGCAAATAGTGTCAGAAGAGACTCAGAAGGTCATATAGCCCCTCTCCCTGTGCTAAGGTAGGATGAACTAAACCTCAGTGAATGAGGCTGAAATAAAAATCAAGTAGGTTTTGTTTTTTTTAATGTTCTCTTTCTTTCCTTTTTTGCTTTCTGAGCCTTATGGCACACTCAGATAATAGTGTGAGTCTTTTTTTTTGTGAAGCTACAAGGATTAGAAACTTGTTACTTCTAAAAAAAATGAAAGCTGGGACTCTCATTTAATCAGTCACCTCCAAGAGCTGCCAGGTTTTACTCCAGGGCTTTGAGAAAAATATCAAATATAGTGAGACTCAGTGTCGCAGGGCACTAAGGTGTGCCTGCTCCTTCAAGGGCAGAAACTGCGTAGAGAGAGGGCCCTACAAGCCAGGCAGAACCGCACAGGTGCAGGTTGCCATAGCAGCAGGCTAATGAGGAAATTAGCTAGCACCTGCACCTGGTCAGCTGACCGGAAGAGGGCAGGGCCTCCCAGCACATATAAACCCCAGGGTTGGGACTAGAGGCAGTTAGTGCCCTGGCAGCAGCCAGGAGGGGGGAGGAGTTCATATAGAAAAGATATGTGGAGTTGCCTGTTCTGCTGCTGGTAAGACTAATGGGCTCCAGGAACTCCTAAAGTACCTGGGGGTAGGAGGCATGCATTGCTGAGGGAGAAACTGGTCCTCTTAAAGGTGCAGACTGTGGCTTCCAGTGTCATTGTTAGGTTGTAGGGGCTCATATTTATGTTGTGGTTTAATTCTGGTGGACTGGGATGAGGCTACTGGGAAGGAGGAGGCCTCACTGAGGCACACTACTGCAGAGAGCCCCAGCACCAGGGGGTGTAGCGATAGAGGCCCAGTGATAACAGAAAGCTGAACTAGGTCAAGACCTTATTACAGGTACAACATTGATGTACCATCTGTGAGGCATGGGGCATGGTAAAGGGGTGGCTTTGGAGCCATGCATCTAGCCCATAAGGATTGGGGTGTCCTGTGAGGCACCTGCTTAGAGCAGGACCCAGCAAGGGGTCTAAGGACACATGGGGTTTAGTGGGGTCCATCAAGACCATGGCTGCGCAGCAACTTGAGGGCAGCCTCCCTATCTATTACTAGCGCAACAAGATGTGGCTGGCAAGACTAAAAGGTGCCCACAAGGTGAAGCTGGCACAGTTATGGAGCCCTAAGGGGATCACAGCCATCCCTGGGGACCCTGCATCATGACACTTACGGTTAAACCACTGGAGTTGGCAGCACTGGAGGAACCTCCTGGACTCTTCCTGATGCTTCTGGGACTGGACTACTATGTTATTTTTCAGCTGTTTGTATTTGAACTAGCTTCTCTTTAAGTTAAGACAGCCTTTGACCATGAGGAGCACATGAAGAACCTCAGTGGTTTAGTTACTTGGAGGCTACTGAGCACATATTCATTGTGAGAGAATGAGAGACTTGGTTCTTCCACATTATTTCATTTTCTAGGTACTGCACTACTGACTTGTCTAGACACAAAGGAGGGAGCCTGGAATACAATAGCTGCTGGGGGCATGGAAACCCCCTCTTCTCCAGTAGCCCAAGTTGTCTGTCCAGGTTTCCTAGATTAGCTTTCCTTTGTCATGTGCCTGTGGCAAGGTATTTGGCAGAACTTGTAGATTTTTTTTGTTGGAGTCAGACAGGTCACACAGTGAATGCTTCAGCTATGACCTTGAACTTATAACCTCTGGGCTGTCAACTGTAGACCTTAGTGCCTGTGCCAACCCAGTTTGGCAGGGGGGACTCATAAGAAGATAAGTGTCTCATTGCTACATTGGATCTGAAAGGACAACCCCATCATTCATGGCTCTTTGGTGGCCTTGGTGACACAGGCAGGTAGAACCCACAGGGCAGTCCTTAACACCACAAGTGGAAGTGGCATTGAGTGGCTGTGAGCATTGCCAGGGCACGGAGAAGGAATTGCCCTTTGGCTCTATGGCTGAAGCCTAGCCAGGGTAAAACAGAAGCATGATGCTCTGGTAAAGCTGTTGCCCAACCCACGAGTCCTACATCTAGGCCTGTCAGACTAGGAGCCTTTACCAGCCCCAAGCTTGGAGGCAAAGGAAACTGAAGTGATTCTTCATTTTCCTTTAAATTCACAATCTAATTAAGCACAAAGTCTGGTTTATGAATTAGCCAGGGCACAAAGCAACTGCAATGACATGCCGATCTCACAAAGGTGGGCTCCCTATATAATACCTGGGAGTTTATTAGGTACTATGAGAAAATAACTTTTCAGAGACCCAGCTGCATTCCCCTGCCATTCACTGAGTCCAAAGCAGAAACATTTGTAGCCCTTACTTCTGATCACGTTGCTGCCAAAACAGACTCTGAATAAGGCAGCCACAGCCCAGGGACTCTTTTCTTCTCTCAGTCTCACCCCCCTGTGCCCCCCCAAGCAGGATTCAAGCTGTTTTAGTGCTTGGAGCAGAAGTTGGCACACTTCACACTCAAAGCAGCTCCCCTTTCCCTGTTGCCCTGCCCTCTTGATGGAAGAGGGGATCAGCTGGAGGGGAGGGAGTGAGGGTGAAGCCTTAAGTTTATTGAAAATGGTGATATATGCCCTGGGGAAATCAAGGTGAAAGGCGGCAACTGCAGCAGCTCTGTGAATGATGAAGACCCACCTCATTTATCAATCACAGGGCTGGGGAGGGACAGCAAGCAAGTCCAAGGAGGAGCAGAGAGGCACAGCATGGATTAGTGGTGTCTGGTGCACATGGTCCTACCCAGCCACTGTCTCCAGTCAAAGGGAGCTGGCATAGCCATGTTGCCATACATGGATTATCCATGGATGTGCCAGGCATTTAAACCAGGAGGATCCCTCAGCCTCTTGCAGGCCCTAAGTCCTGGGAAGAAATGTGTTGTGAAAGTAAGGGGTAGAGGCAGAAATTATTTAAGCTTGTGGAAAGTAAAAAGCAATATCAGAACCAAGGAAGGAGGCTGGGGCCCTTTTGCTGATACTCTGTGAGAGGGCACTGACCGTACACTACAGCGTTCAGCTGGGGATGGCAGCAGATGAAGAACGTGGTGGGGGAAACGCCCCTTACCCTCCAGGGCAAAGGTGAGAAACACCTGCCCCTCTTGGCGCACTCTGGCGTACTCCCAAAGCATACTGCTATTCACAAAGGATTGGGGAGCTGCTGGTGACATGGGGTAAGCCCAGGCTTCTCCAGGGGTAATGTAGCTGAATTCAGAGAAGGGGCAATTCTGTCAGGGGCAGGAAACTGTCCTCAAAACTCCTATCATAAACCCCTCCTAGCCTGCATCTGAGTGGGTCTGTCCTCACCCCAGTCTGGCAGCCAGGCTGAAGACAGTTCCCACCCTCTCCACCTACTCCCAGCTCTTTGCACTGCCTCAAGCTAGGAGCTGAAGCAAGGGAGGGAGTTGCTGGCCTAGGGCCAAGCAGCCAGTGCCCCCGGCACAAAGGAAGCAATGCCTCTTTATTAAAGTAAAGCAAAGCTCATAGTAAATTAAGATGGTTATAAAATTTACCAAGCAGACTTACCTCAGTGATATCTCTTCTGCAGGCCCATTGTTTGGAGAAGTGTTGCACCACTAAGGGGCAGCTCGCTTCCTTGGAAACCCATCCCACTGCCTACAGCCAGGCAGGGGAGCTGCCACGCTAGAAGGGGCAGAGGCGTTGGCTTCTGCAGGCTCTGGGCCTGACCACCTGCTTGCACCCTCAGGGTGGGTGGAGAAATTATCCAAATCTATCAACTGTTGTACTTGCCTGCCTCTGTCACCATGGTCTTTAAGTGCCTCACAGACCACGAATGGATATATCCATTAAATAGGGCAGTACTATTATTCCCATTGAACAGGTGGAGTAAGAGAAGTAAGATGACTGGCTCAAAGTTAGACAACGGAGCCTGGGGCCACATAGGGGATTAAATAAGAGTTTTTTGAGACCCAATCTAGTATTGTAGTCACAAGACTTTCCTTCTTACCCTCATGGGAGAGACCTCATGTGCTATTTTGAGGGGGGGTGCAAGTGGGAGGATTTGTGCAGGTGTTAAAAAAGCATGAAGCAGAGGGGAAATGAGAAAAGGGGAAAGGGAAGATGATGGGAAGAGAAAAAAAGGGGACATGAGAACATGAGTGAGGGAAAAAAGGGACAGGAAGAATGATATAAAGTAAGGAGAGCAGAGGAGGGAGAATTCCCAACCATTTAAACTCCTCCTTGTCCAGCCCATAGCCAGGAGCTACCTTAAACTCCCAAACAGGAGCTCACAGGGTCGCAGACTAAGCAAAGGATCTTGGGTGCCCTATCCCCTCAAACACCACCAGTATGCCCTCATTTCCCTGCTACATCTGGGACCCTAGCTTCCCCACCACTTGAGCAAAGTGAAGATGTCAAGAAAAAAGGCTCCAAATCAGATTGACACCCACCACTCCCCCCTTAATAAAGTTTATTATCAGCCAGTCTCTAATCCTTTTAAATCCCCCACAGCGGGGGAAGGGCTGAGATTAGGGGAGGTCAGTGTAATCCCAATGAATTTGTTACAGGAGGATTTAGCCAGCACCAGGGGACCAGATGGCCCAGGCCCAGCTCAGGAAAACAACCATTTTCCTTAATGATTTGTAACAAGGGTAAAAGGGCAGGAGAAATGGGGACAGCAGTACTGGGGAGAGGTGGGGCGCAGGGAGAAGAGGACCAGAGCACAAACAAAAAGGTGGTGACTTGAGTTTAATTCAAGCTGTTAGAAAAATAGCCAGACAAGTCTCCAGACAAGATGCAAAGCAGTTGACAGGTGTCAGGGCAAGAGGCCAGCTGCCCTAACCCCCAAGATTAATGTCTTGGGCAGCAGTAGTATACCTCTATTCCTGGACAAGGGGTATCAGCTGCACCTGGTGGCAGAGACCCACCAAGCCTTGGTGATTCCTTACCTCTGCCCTTCTGGTTTGTTTGGGGCAAAGGCATCCAAGTGCCAGAAAGTGCTGCAGCAGGTTCCAGTTGCCCCACGTGACACTGTGGAGGCCACTCACAACTGCTGTGTTAAATTTAAAGTGAACTTAGCACTAGAGAAAAGGGACAGACACAGACGGCCTGGGGGAGAGAACACGTCTGTTTAGTTCCATACTAAGTGCAGCAGCAAGGCTGATAGGGAGAAGGGGGCTGAACATCATAGGATCATAGAAAGGTCGGGCTGGAGGGGACCTCACAAGGTCCAGTCATCTAGCTCCATCCCTAAGCTCAGAGTGAGGACCTTTTTTAAAGGTGGGTTGGGGCTTCTCTTCACGGCTACTTGGAGCTTGGGCCTGTGTTCAAAGTATGAGGAAGTTATGATAATGAATGTTTCCTATAAGGAGCTGGACTGAGACCCACCAGCTCAATCAATGTAGGCCTTCAAATGGCTGGCAGATAGCAATTCCTCTGAACCATTTCACCAAATTAAAGCCTCTGCATTCATTTTCAGGTCAACCAGCCTCACTGGCTGAATTGCTACTCCAGCAGCAGCCCTCACAGCGAAGAGAAAAGATATCAAGTAGAAACTTCCAGGTAGTGCTACTGGTATGCTAAGGGCTACTGAAGCATAGCAGCACAAATGCGTCATGCTGTTTTCCAGCCGCTCCATCTAGCTACCAGAGATAGGCCTCTGGAAACAGCCATGACCAGTATTCACACTGCCAGGACAACTGAAGTGATGCAAGATTTTTGGTGGATTACAAGCAGGCAAAAGTGAGGAAAGGTGGAGGAACATCCAAAGTTCTTCACAGTAGGACTTGTGAAGTGAATAGGTACGAAGGGAAAACCAGACTATAGATCACTTCAGCACAGTGCGTGGGCTAGATGCGAGGGGAGCACAGGAAGGAAAGAACCAAATCTTGGAGTTGGGGTGGGAAATGGAGCATAAAGAACTTGTAAAAATATTTGTTGATTTGGATGAAAACTGATACAATCCAGTGTCTGGGTTAGAGCAAGGGGTTGTTTAGCTTTGAGGGTTATAGCAGAATAGAAGTGAGGGTTCAATGTACAGACTTCTCCACCAGACAAAGATGCAGAAATGTGTACACAATGCAGGGGTGTTAGGATCCTTGGAGCAGAGTCCCGCAGGCCACTCTGAGTGGAGCACCATGCAGCACAGCCCAGCCCAGCCCAGTTATGTCCAGGAGGGGAGGAACTGGAGTCAGGGTTTGCAAAGAGAGTGGCAGGGGGAGGACAGTTGCTTGAAATAAACCAGAAGCAAGAGGCATTAGAGGTACAAGGGGAAGACACAACAGTAAAGAGGACAGGACATGAGGGCTGGACAGATGGCAGAAATGGGTCCGGATCCAGGTCCCAGTGGAACTGAATGAACAGGACTGATGTACAATGGCTGAGAGGATCTTGCCCTGTGTCACCCACACTGAGACACATGAATGCAGCAGACTTTATACATACCCTGTGATCCAACACAGCAAAATGTTTATTAACAAAAATAATTTATTCTACTAACACAAGCATAGACACAATGACAGCATGAGAAGCCAGGCACTTGGAGACTTCATCTCTTCCAGAGAACAGGGAAGATGATGGATTACAAACCAAATCACCCCTTTAAAGAGAAGAAAGTTTAACCAAACCAACCTCTTGCTACAACAAAAAAATAAAAAGATTCTCCTTCACCCACTACAGAGCAGAACTTTTTGAGCAGATCTCCTATCCCAAGGGCTACCAACCAAGCCAAGGTATGGTTCAGGGAGAGGCAGGCAGCACTCTGTCAGCTTTTCAAGACTGGCAACAAGGTTGAGTGCATTTTTCAAAGGAGCAAAGAAATCAGCTATCCTAGGCTTGATTTTTATAAACACTGCTCAGAAGAGTGCCTGTTCCAACTTCCTTGCATCACATCTCAGTGTCAGAAGCATCTCTGTTGGCTCAGGGCAAACCTCAGAAGGGTATACTTAAGGACAGGCAGAGCCCATGCAAGGGAAAGGAGAGAAACAGAGGCCAGATGGCTCCCAAGGGCACTGATGAGATGGAGTGGCTGAGAGCACAAGTGTTCTCGGGCTCCAGCAGGTTGTCACCCAATTTCAGGGCACTCAAACCTCATTCTCTTCTATTCTCGTTGCAAGTGTTTTGGATGTTTAAAAAAAAAGAAAAATGGCAAAAGATGACAACAGCTCCACGCTGTTGCAGGAGAGAGAGCTGTAGTCACCTATCACTTCGGGCAAAACACGCATGGGTTAGCCACCTGTACTTTTACTGCTGCCTGAAATGGGTCAGACCTCACAGCAGCAGAGGCAGCTGGGCTATTTTAAGCTCTCCCTCATCAGTGATAGGGTAGCACAGTTCCTTCCCGTCTGCCCAACCCCAGCAAACCCTTGGAGTGAATTCTTACCAATTTCAAAAGTAGTGATTATTTCAGATGCCAAACTTGATCCCTCTTTAAAGGTACAAGACCTATGAAAAAAATCAAACCCCTTTAAAGGGGTCTCAAGTTGAGCAAACAAAATCTCCTATTCCTTTTGGAAATCTTGGTCTTAATTTTAGACTAATTACATATGCACCTCTGAAGATAACCTGCAAAGGAAGAACCAGGTGGATGGGGTCCCCAGGAAGTCAGCAGCAGCTCTACTTTTCACAACATGCAGTTATCCAGAGGAAGACATGCTGGTCATTATTTTTGGGGTACAAGGCAAGGTGCTGGTCCTGCAGAGCTCACAACCTACATAGACGTGTAAATGCAAGAAGGGGAATGTGTAGCCTGGAAGAGCTGGATGAATGCATGGGGATGATTTAGATATGAATCTCATTAGTTCTATGATTTCCATTAGGATTCCTCCAGTCCAACTCCCCTTCTTCAGTTCAACATCAGCTGCAACAATGTTTGTATTAAACAGAAGCATTGAATTAAACTACAAAAACCAGCAAGCAAAACAGGTGTGGGGATACTAAGTCAGAAATTTAATGCCAGGAGGTTAAAGTGCTCTTCGTATAGGTGGGTCTGGATTTGAACAAGATCCTGAGTGCAAATCTAGAAAATTGTGGGTGCCCAATTTTGGTTGCTTGGATTTTGAAACCAATAACAGAGGACCCCAATGGGTGAAAGGATGTGCTAATGTAACATGGTCCTGGTCTCCTTCTAAAGTAGGTAGGGCAGGGACAGGCAATTATTTCGGGCCGAGGGCCGCTTACTGAGTTTTGGCAAGCCATTGAGAGCCACATGATAGTCAGCCAGGGGCAGATAAATATTAATTTTCTAAATTTCTAGGGGCCCCATGGGCCGGATAGAATGGCCTGGCAGGCCGTATCTGGCCCGTGGGCCACATTTTACCCATCCCTGAGGTAGGGGGTAGCAGTCTGATCTTAGGCAACTCACAGGTTTGGAGCAGCCCAGGACTTCCGGTTAAAGATGGCCTGTAGCTTTTGACTGTATGGGGAGAGTTTTCTCCAAGACTGCCCCCACCTGGGACACTTATAGGAAAAGCTGGTCCATTTTCTTCCCAGCATGACAGGAACACTAAGAGATGGGGCAACATGCCCACAGCAGAGGAATTGCAGCATAACCCTGATAACAGAATTCCATCAATACTACTGTAGCCCCAGGCATAGAAGGGAGGGACAAGAAAAACTAAACACTCTTAACTACCATACAGGCTTACGAGGTATAGAATTAAAAGCTCTAGCAGAATTGTGCATGACCAAGCTGAAAGTGCAGTGACTTTTGACATACGATCTGAGGATGGAAGCTCTGAACTGCAGAAGCAGAAATCAAATATAAGCCCAGTGCACATCCCCATCCCTGCAAAAGAATGCAGACTTGGTGTACAAGAAACCCAAGATGGTAGTGTAGTTGGGATTTCAAGACAAGGTTTAGGTGAGTCAGGATAAGGGCCCCCGTGGCTCACAACAAAAATCTTGGGTTGGGGGTGGAGAAAAGTTTCCAAGTCAGGATTTGGGAGATCTACCTTAGCCCTAGAAATATGGTCATAGCAGCACCTCCCAGCATTATGCATCTCTCAAGCACCAGTTCTCCTGTTTCTGTAAGGTGTACTGTCTGTCTGGATATCTGGAATATGAAAAGGAGTCTGATCAAACTCTCGGTTCAGCACGGGATACAAAAAACAGAAAAGCACAAGAGATGCCTCACTATCCAGCCCTCCCACAGCCCTTCAGGGACAGTAGGAAGAAGAAGTTATGTTAACTGTTAACTCAAATGGTATCTTATTTTCTATGCATTGGCTTCAAATTATGGTGATTTACCCTAAAAGGGCCTGTTTTACCATTTTTAAAGCCAGTTCATCCAAAGGCAGGGTAGAACTGTAGTCTGCAGACCTGGTGTTTGCTAAAGAGGGTCTTCAAACCAGATCAGCAAGAGCAGGTTGGACCACCCTCTCAGCAATGGCTCTTATGCGATTTGTGATAGGGTTACCTGAAGTAACTTTAAAACTGAGATTTTACTAGTGTCATTTGGTCCAAAGGGACAACACCACTCATAGCCTGAGCTCAGAAAGGAGAGAAGCCTGAGCTTCACTGGACAAGGAGACAGCTAGAACTCTCCTTTTTCTCTACAATTCTCTTTGCACCCCTTGCCCCAAACACCATCCCTATAATGGTTTCAGTGAATAACTCAGAGGAGCTCATGGTGATGGTTAAGGCTTTTGGATCCCTGAAGAAAAATAAGCCATGACTGCCCAACTGGGCACCACCATGTTTTTGCACTGCCAAGGCCAGAGACCATCGAGCTGCCAGAAACATTCCAGAAATCTGCCAGCTGCACTCACTGCTATAACAACACTGCTGAAGAGTCAGGTGCCTCCCTGTTTCTTCAGATAAAAATACCCAGAAGGAACTATCAGTACGTGACCTGAAGTGCCTACCCCAAGCCCCTTCCCCAGTGGCCTCAGCTGCTCCCCAAATTCAGGCCTCATGCCACAGGAAAACCAGGGCGGCCCTTGCGGGACCGCAACCGCATGCGGAAGAAGGTGTACATGCCCAGCAGGCACACGGAGGAGAGGCAGTACAGGATGATGCACAGGCTGACATCCAGGCGGGAAAATCCCAGTCCCAGCACACGGAACCACTGGCTCTTCCTTAGACTGTCACTTCCCTCCTCCTCCAGGGCACCAACGAGCTGCTTGGAGTCCAGCCCTCGTTGCCTCAGGCGCTCCCATGCAGCCACATAGTCAAAGGCTTGGTGGCCATCATCATCTGCCATCAGCAGTGGTATGGTGTCCCTCTTGCTCAGCCGCCGTTTTCTGCTGGCTGCCAAGGCTGCTTCCTTCAGGGCTTTGCTCTTGAAGTGCTGCTCACTGAAGGAGTCCAGGTCCACAATGTCCTCCTCCAGCTCCTTCCCCCTGGGGTTCATCCTGATGATGCTCGGCCTATGCAGCTCCCGTCTCTCCAGAACACCCACTTCCCTCTCCATCATCACTCCATCTGGCTCCTCTGCTCTCCTTTCTTCTGCTTCCTCCTCTTCTTCCATATCTTCTTCCCTCCTGTTCTCTCCTCCCTCTTTCCTCCGCATGTCTGCTCTTCCATCACCCATAACCTTCTCTCCATCTCCCACCTCCACCTCTTGGCTCTGCCTTGCCAGTAGGATTCTCTCAGGCTCTGTGTAATCGAAGTAGATATTGGCTGGTGAGTAATGCATCTTGAGGAAGCGCAGCACAGTTGGCTCATTCCACACGTGTTGTCCGCTGACCTCGTTGTGGCACGAGGGGCACATGTCTGGGGGAGGCCACTGCATCTTGGGGAATTTGGGGTCCTCCGTTAGGTCACCTGAACAAATCAGAGCAAACAAAGGTGTCAGGCACACTCCCAGAAGGTTCTGCTGCAGCAGCGTGGCTTAGCACAGTAGGCAGAGCATTTACACTCCTGGCAGGAGATAGGCAATCTCAGAGAGGTGGCCTCTCTGCTGTCCTACTCAACTCCCACTGCATCAGAGCCCTGCAGCCCTAGCTCATCTCTCTGCTTTGCTACAGCCAGGCCCCATTCACACCAAGCAGTGCAGGAAGTGCTCCATTGGGGACCAACCAACCCTTACTGGAAAGTCATCCCCTTTTCCCCTCTCCAGTCATCTGCAGCAGCAGCTCCTCTTAATATGCCTTTCAGGACTATAGCCTCCAACAATGCCAAGAACTGAGCTTCAGTTCTGGAGCTGATTTCACTGGAGACTTTCTGTCCAGAGACCCCTCCTTGCCCTCATCAACTTGTACAGGCACTCTCCACTACTTTAAAGAGAAACTAGGGGAAGATCTCACAGTGGCTTCATAAAAATTCAGCAAGCTCTTCCCTTTCCCCACCACCCTACCAGACAGTTCCTCTTTCATTTAGTCATGTGGTCACACTGCTTGGGTCACTGGGTGAACTGTGTGCAGGGGGGAAATAAATGAATTCTGGGACTTTGGCCACCCACAGTGACAGGGCCGTGGGGGGGAGGGAAGGCCACATTGACAAGAAGGAAGTCAGTTGTTCATTTATCCCTGGGGCCAGGATGCTAGTCTTCTCCCCCTTCAGCTGTCAGTAGCTTTTGTCCCCTACTCCTCCCTACACTGGACTCAAGAGGCACGTGGGAGGAGGGGGAGGGGGAGCGTCTGTGTGTCTGGGCAGAGGGGAAGGGGAAGTTAAATGGAGCATTTGGAGAGATGTCTCAGGTCCAGGGTCCGCCCAGGGCACGTGTCATCTTTTAAAGCGTTCTGTGGGAAGCCAGATAAGATTTAACTCCATCTCTGGGGCGGTCCCAGTCTCGGAGCAGCCAGCTGCTTGTTCCCTTAACCTCAGGGGCCTGTGATCTCCACCCTCTCCTTGCCAACCTCTTTCTAGATTGCAGAGTTAACCTTTAGATGTTCACTAAGGGCTACTCACTCACTGCAGGCCTTGATTAACAAAATTTCAATTTGCTGGGGAGGGGCATGAAGGCACACTGCCTGGATTCAGGCTTTCCCCTTATCCCCAGCATTGCTTCCCAAGTGATTTGCAGCCTGCAAAGTGGTCACTAGAAGAGGAAAGATCTCCCTGCACTATGGTGGAAGGGAGGCTCTGTGTCACCAAACAGCTGTACTGACTCAGCCACTTCTTCAAGTATTAATGGGCATCTGTGAAAGGTTCACTTTAAACCCAAGCCTTGCAGCTTGGCTGTTCATGTGACCCTGATCCCCATCCCTCCTTCAGACAGGACTGGGCGGTCTGGACCCTTCTTATCAGGGATAGGGAAAAATCCCCTGTGCTCCCCATGCCTCTCCCAAGCTGTTGCCAATACCAGCGGCAGGACCATTACCTGCCAGCCGCGCGTTGGCCCGGTTGTGTCTCGACCAAAGCCACAGGATGGCTTCATCCAGGCTCTTCACTTGGTTCATGGACTCTGCCGCCATGGCTTCAAAGTGCTCCGAGCAGGTCCGACAGCCAAAGAAGTAACGGATGTAGCCTCTCATAGCGCCAAGGACCTCTAACGGCTCTGGTAGAGGAGACAAGATAGCCCTGTCAGTGCAGCATGCAGGGCTGGGGGTACCCTATGTCTCAGAGGGATGCAGTGCCACTGCGTATACCTTACTATCCAAACAGCCACCAAGCTACCTTGGATCCTACAGAGCAGGATCTACAACCCCTTTAATTTCCTCCTGGCAGCCTGCCAGCTCTCTGAAGTTAAGTGCATTCAGGAGACTAAACACCTCCAGCACAGGCAGCCTTGGGTACACTAACCCATCTAAAAGGTCTATATGGGGCAAAGCCAGAGGCCAGCCAAACAAGCAAGCTTTTCTTGGCACTTGGGACCCGTCAGGGCCAGAAGCCAAAGATGGAACAAGTTTTACAGTAATTCCTGCAGCTACAAAATTCCCTCCCCTTGACCAACACAGCCATCTCAATGTAGCCATTCCTGATTGCCATCTAATTCCAGACCTAACTAGGCCTCCTAGAGAAAATGTTCAATTCTGACAACTCTGCCTCTGCTGGAATATGCCTCATCTGCCCCCAGAAGCTAAGGGCATTCTAAGCCCTTTTGACTTGAGGAGAATTTGGGCCTGCTTATGACAGGATAGTTTCCCCACCCCTTTCTGTATGGGCACAACAGCTGTTATATTTGAACTCGGTACACAGGCAGGGTATGTCTTTACCTGCAGCCCGTGCTTTGTACTTTGATGCCTGCACTGTCAGTAGGTGGAATAAGATCCAGAGAGAACAGGGATATCCTCGGAAGTGAGACTTACTGCCCTGGCATCCTACCCATGTCATAGTGTGCGTCAGTATTGCCGGTTTTGGAGCCTGATGGGGAAAAACAGACAGAGATGATTTTGCTGGAACAACCCCAGTGATAAACCAGGAGATAAAGGGAGGCAACAGCAGAAGGCTGAACTCCAGTGAAACAACAGACACAGATGCCATCCCCTCATCCCCCAGCAGGGCTGATTGGAAACATTCTCCAAGTGCCTTACTTTTTTTTTATTCTTCAAGGCTTCCTCTAAGGCACTGCAGGAAATATTTGATTCTTTCTGGTTCTTCAGCCAGGTGTCCAGAGAGCCCAGGAAGTTCTTGACATAGGGACGTCCAGGAAAGTACTGCAGGCAAAAACAAAAACAAAAAAACAAAGAAGGAAGTATGATGAAGGACAACAGCCTCAACCCTGGTTTTGACTGAGATGAGCACAGATATAGTGGAGACCCTTGACTTTGGTTCCAGGAAAGTCTGAAGGAGTTAGATCTTCGGGGAGTAACATAACAGATATCTTCCTGCAGCAACTAACTCAGTTTCCTAGCAATGTCCTGCTGTGCCCTAGTGCTCTCTGCAAACCTCATTCAGACAAAAGTGGAGAGCAGAGTGAGACACTGCTTGGGAGAAACTCACAGCTATGCCAGTCCCAGACAATCCCAGGATGGGAACGGTAACAGAACGCTGGCTGTGGGAGAGCTCACAGCTACCTGAGGCCCAGGTCTGCCCAGCTGGTTATGAAGGGACCCTTCGGTTATGATTCAAGCAGCTAATGTTGGGAGGGCTTTTCATTTGTATTCAAAGTGCTGCCCATGCAAACAAGTCAGTCCTGTGGGCCAAGAGCCAAGATCCAAATCTCAATCGTAGCTCCAAATAGTCTCTGAGGAACACAGAAAGCTACTTTGACAATAAGTCAACTCAAATCCGATTAGTATCAGCACTTTAAAACCACAAGCACTCCAGGGACAGGAGAAGCGAGTGACATGCACACAAGCAGGAAGAGAGACCCATATCACAGAGAGGCAGACACACGGAGACAGGCAGGGCTGAAGGACAAAAACAGCAGGCGAGCAAATAGGAGAAGAATGAATGAAAGAAGAGAGGAAAAGAGTGTTGGGATATCACTCATCTGTTCTACGTGGACACCCTGTTATGCTATACAAGGGAAACACAGGCAAATGGACTTAATCCACCCAGGGGGATGGCCATTAATTTCCAACCCTGACATTTCTGTTGGAAAACTACAACCATCCTCCTGTCCTCTCTAAAGGTACTGTAAGGGTGGAAACAGACATCACCTTTGTGCCACCATAAACATTTTCACTGCAGTACAAAGGCCAAGCATACAGATGTCCATGACCCTTGTCGTAACACAAGTGCCTAAAATTTGTGGCCACAACGTAGGCGGCAGTCATTTGTACTGCTATTTTGCGGCAGATGTGTGTCTGCTTTAAGGCAGGAGAGTGCAGGAAGCCTGGAGCTGCTCTCCAGCCACCCCAGGCAGGCATTCCAGGGTTTCAGGAGCCCGATCCTGCATGCTCTGGAAATTCCCATTGGATTCTCTGGTGCCACATCTCTGCAGTATCCTCTGGAGTTTCCCTAACTGCAGAGGCACAGCAGCAGGTTCCCCAGGCGTACCTCTGCCAGCCAGGCAACCTGAGGTTCCCTCATTTGTAGAGATGTGCCATGCCCTAAGTGTTCTCCCACAGGACTGGGCCCCAGCCACTCCCAGGAGCAGCAGAGGCCTGACCCTGAGGGATAATAGGCAATGTCCATTTCACCCAGTGAAGAGTTAGGACACATCCTGGCACAGTTGAGCTGCTTCATTTGGCAACATCTGTTTATACCCCAAGATGCTGGAGATGTTATTAATACTTTAATACTACAAAATTAATACTTCCCCCCACACCAAGACATCCTTGGTTTAAATGTCTTCTGGAACAGCGATGGTTATAGCTGACGAACACAGAAGAGAAGGCAAATTCTTTGGACTAGAGCAGATTAAGTTGCTCTAGGTGGCTAGGCAGACAACATTCTTTGGGTGAATCTGATATATATTTTATTAAACCAACTTAAATAGTTGGAAAATAATTTTTAAGCAAGCTTTCGGGTTCAAATGTGGCTAGAACATTGCAATCCTGGTGGCACTGCTCCGTCTAGTGGCCAGTGTCTGAAACAACTATTCAATGCTCAGCACCAGCTATTTCCAAACTAAGAACAGTTTGGCATCAATGTTCATACTGAGAGAGTAGCACAGGAGGGAGGCTGCAAAGCCACCATTCCTGCCCTCAGCAGCAGTTCACAATCTATGAACTTTGCTGGGAGACAGGAGATGGGTGAGCTGGACTCTTTGTGCTATTTCAGTCTCGAATCCTATGTTGCCTATCTCTGAAGACTGAAAGCTGACATTGCTACTGCTGTTAGATATCATCACAGGCATTTCTCAATACAGACTGCTCCTTTCATAGTCATGCCCTCCTCACACAGCTCTTCAAATGCATCTTTTCCTGACCTGCAGCATCCCTAGCTAGTCAGCCCTAGTGCTTTTACATGCAGAGCCTGCCAGCTTCGCCTGTTAGTAATGGTCCAGTCTGGTAATGCGCAAAAGGAACTAAGGTGGAAGCTAAGAACCTAAGACTCACTGCACTCATGACTTATATTTAGGCTCAAAGATTTTAAGGCTGCAAGTGACAGTTATAATAACTTACTTAGACCTCCTGTGAAACCAGGCAGAAAGTCTCACCCGGTAATTTCTGCAACAGGTCCAGAACTTCAATCTGAGCTACAGCATGCCTTCTAAAGAGCTATCTTGTCTTGATGAAATGTCTGCAAACCTCAGAGATTCTACCTTACTCTAGCTAAGTTATTCCAATGGTTCCACACTGTAATGCAGCAGTCGGCAAACTTTAGAAGCTGTAGGCTGGAAAATCCTGGCTTCAGTCCAATGCAGGCCAGGGGGATTCAGCAGCACATTAGTGGCAAAGGTCTTTGTTTGCAGGCCAGGCAGCTGGGAAGCTGTAGTTAAGGTGCTGCCACTTCCCCTCACCCCCCATTCCTGGTTACAATGGGGATATAACTTCCAGCCAGTGAGTAGCTGAGCTGGAGATAGGCAGCTGAAAGCTGCATCTACACTATCACCACTTCTCCCTGTCCACACCATCACCTCCTGACTATGGCATGGGTGCAGCTTCCAGATGCTTAGCCTTGGTGTGGATACAAACCCCTCCAGCTCTGTGGACTAACCCCTATCCAAATGTTAAACACCTGCACCATATTTCTAGGCTGAGCATGCCCAGCATCTGCTTCTGACACTGGGATTCACAAGCATATAGTTTGTGCTAGATTTAAGAACCCTTTACTATTAGGAATTTCTTGCTGATCTTTTAGACCACTGCCAGGTCACCTCTTAACCTGCTCTTGACTATATTATATAGACCAGCTTTCTTATATCTCTCACTACAAAGTCATGTTTTCTAGAACCTTAAAGCATTTTTGAATCTCTTCTCAGAGCTTCTTCCAAGCTTTTCAGGCCCAGACACAAGCCTCTAAAGAAAACAGGATAATAGGCCACCCCAAAGGCACTTCTATGGATACCAGAATGTTTCTAAAAGATTGATCAGCAGTCACTTTATATTACAGTTAAATAGCTCCTTATGGGCAGTAAAGGGGGTGGAGTGGGGGAAAAGGTAAAGGGAGGGAACCTTGATCCAGTGAAAGAGGATTTGAAAGGACTTAGTGTCTTGTGAAACAAAAAATCATGGAAGTCAGGGCCAGGGAGAGTCAAAATGTTTCAAAGTGACTGGCTATGGTTGGGGATTATGTAGGAGACTGTAGACAGCTGCCAGGTCATCCATATACCATAGTTAAGAAGAGGTGTTCCTGACACTTCAAAGGCTGCTGAGCACAGAAAGCACTGCTTGTTAACTCTCTGATATAGCCAGTTCACATGCAGAAGCAAAGACAGGAGCAGGAAACTGGAGGAAACATACTGCATTGTGGTAGAGGTGGGAGACACATCATTGCCACAGAGACTTCACTTTGTGGTAGTTCGAAGGAGGTGGTTGTAGTGAATTCTCGAGTATGGCAATGTGAGGTTTCAAAGGTGTGGTTTATAAGAAGGGTTGGTATGACTGATTAGTCCAGGTTTGGGAGGGGGGAGGTTTAATTCCCAGCTCAGTGGATGATCCATTCCTAGTTCCTGAAATATTTAGACTAAGGACCCATCCACAGTTGCTAAAGCAGGTTCACACGTGACCATAATTCAAATGGGTTTGTTACAGTCTGGCTACAGTACAGGTATGTTTAAAGCACAGAGGAAGGAAAGGTTGCTAAATCAGGTCAGAATGTGATATTTAGAAACAGGTTGAGCCCTCCTCCTTTGCCAACCAAACCAGGAAACACTGATTTATCTGGAACCCTGATCAACCAGGGTTCAACTTGTGAGGGGACAAGCGTAGATTCACTTGCTAGACTACCTCTCCTCTAATCTGATATGATGGGGCAGTCTAGCAATTGCCATGATAACAGTGAGAAAATTGTTAAATGTCCCATTTCTTACATCAGGAACACAAGGCTTTTACTACTGGGATGAAGAGGCAACTGGACCATCCAGCCATCTGAAGACTAGCTGAAGAGTGCTTAGTGCTCACCTTGGCCAGCACTGTCACATAGCGTTTCAGGGCTGCCAGCCGCTCTCCCTCTAGGACAGAGAACCTCTCTGTCTCTCCCCGCAGGGAATAGTGTAATGCAGATTCCAGGTCAGCCATGTAGAGCTTGGAGCTGGAAAGAAAAAGCAACATGTTAATTTAGCAAGCCTGCCTATAGGAAGAGAACTGTTTCACTCTGCTCTGGCAAAAAGCCTCGGCCATTTCCCCAAGACTTCTGCCCGCAAGAAAAAGCCACTTCACAAACTTGAGTCCTAATCCTTTGTCTCATGAGAAGAAGGAAGATCCCAGTTACAATTTGCAGTCTATCATCACCCTCAGGGCTGGAGCCTGTACTACCTTGGTTGGACATGCACATTGCTGGGGTTATTTGACCCTAGCAGTCTTTCCTGCCCAGAGCAGGGGTACTGGGCCCAATGATCTCACGAGGTCCCTTCCAGCCTTAAACATCTGTGAATGCTACAGACTTGCCAATGATTCAGCTGAAAATTCTTCTATTACAATGAAAAGCTAAGCACTATTATACAGATTACTCCAAGTGTGCACTAGAAGTACCATCCCACATCATGACACTATTTTACTAAAGCAACATCTGCACAGTAAAATTAGGAATAAACATTGAACAGCACTGAAAGCCATGGCTAAGCCACCTGGGAGTCTCCAGAGGCATGACGGTGTTATTCCATGAGTTGCTATTAATAGCAAAGAACCCTTCTCTTTCAGTTTCTTTTACCTGTTACATTTCCATTTATATCATCTACTTCTGGGGTGGTAGTCTCCCAGAAATGATTCAGAACCTAGGCTGCAGATGTCCATTCTTCATTCAGGGGCACCATACTAACCATACCAAGACAGAACTGGCCATCAACCTAATCTCTATATTTCTTTCACCCTCTCTTCCAAGGATACCTTGCTTTTCCATCCTAAAAGAGGAGCCTTCTAGGCCCTTAATTATACACCTTTGTTGTTCTTAAAACTTGGTGGTGCCCCAGGGCCCCACACGTTATCACCTTCCTTTCTTATCCAACTGTTCTGTGTACTTAACTCCTTTTTCTGACTTGCAGTACACAGCCCATTGCTTTTTGGAAGTTTTGGTTCACACTTCTACATAACACAAATTCTATCCCCTACATAAACCACATTACATTTCTTATTTTTAAAAAAATAAAAGCACACCCTTTGAATTGCATTCTAATTACCTAGCTGGATGCCAGATCCTACAAACTCCTTTCAGCTTCCAGAGGACATCATCACTCATCTCTCCCTGACAGTGATTCTCACCCAAGGTGCCATGGCATCCTTTCAAGGGAGTGCTGTAGGATGCCATGCAGTGTTAGCATCTGTTGCATGTACAAATATGATTCAGAAGAAACCCAGAGATTTCAAATGCGAATTCATCGTTTTAAAAGCATTCTGACCTGTCATGGCCTTTCCGAGTTCTTTGCAACAGAAGAATTGCTTTATTACTTTTCTGAATTTAAAAAAAGTGAAAATTAAGAACTGACATTTTTTGATGGTGCCTTGTGCTTAACAAGGCTGAGAACCACTGATTTACGGGTATGATGATTAGCCTCTGGTGCCAAGACCCAAATGGTCTGATCACTGTTTTGCACAGGGAGAAGTCATAATAGTTTTGTTCCTAAAGGCTTCTCAGATTGACATAATTATGCTGGGAGAGCCCTCTAGTGGACAAAGGCACATGGCACTAGAAAAGGGTTGTTTTTTTCTGCCAGTTTAGCTACACGGCCTCTTTAACTCAGCAAGCTAAGCTGACAAAAGCCCTTCTTCTGTTGGTACAGCTGTATCCAGATGGGGCAGAGAAAGGGAGCTGCTGCTGTTGCCATGCTGGCTACAGGGTGCTATATTTCACACCACTAGTTGACATAGCTCTGCCAGGAAAACTATGTTGTGCAAACTAAGCCTCAGACAGCTCTTCAGTCCTGCCAATGGGGCTGCTCCTCACAGCAAAGCCATCAGCAGGGGTACCTTTCAGATCCATGGAAGAAAAACATGCAGGTAATGAAGGGGGCAGAATCAGATACAGGATCCCCTCAGTGACCTTTCTACAATAATAGCTGAGGAAGAGAGAGGCTCCCCTCTGAGCAGAAGGGCTGGGAGGCAACTTCATCTTCAGCTGCTAGCAAGGCTGGGAGCCTGGGGTGGTAAGGGGAGGGCTGTGGGGAGAAGCAGCACTGGGAATGACCACACCTCTTCCAGCCAGAGGTGACTCACATTACTCTAAATCACATACTCTAAGCCTTTTAAAAAGGCACTTGCACATACACTTCAGCAATGAAACTAGCACATTCTTTACTCTATTATTTACACAAAGGCACATCACCTCTGCCCAACCATGTTCTGATCACATGCTCGGTCTCTGGTCTCCCATGTGTGTGGGACATCACATCCAGCAGCTCCCAGCCCCTCTGAATTACCAAAAGTAGTTAAAAATTCAAATCCCCAACTCATACTGACACCCGTTTAATGACAACACTCTCAAAACCATATTCTTCACTGCTATCTATTTACCTTACATGTCATAAAAAGTGACCCCTGTGGTCCTTTCCTAATAGCCTAAACCAGTATCTTGCATCTTCCAGCATTTTTTGCATTTTTTTTCCTCTGGTTCCACTCAGCAGTGTAAACTAGATAACCGTGGCCTGCCCTGAAGGTCAGCTGATCTCAGCCCTGTTGAACACAGGTGCACATTCTGACAGCAAGGTCCAGAGCTGGAAACACCTTTAATAAAGAATGCCCTAATTCTAGCACCCTCCCTCTCAAACTTGGGGAATGTTAACACCACCCCTTTACAACTGCAGGTGGAACAGGGAAGAGAACCAGGTCCAATACAGCCAGGGCTTGAGGCTGACACAGCCAGTCAACATTTTTGTACAAAGTAGTCAGTGCAGGCTCTTGGAGTGCAATTGCTCCCTACATGTTTGACTTGAACACAGATTTCAACACGTGAAGAGTCTTAAGGTGCAGCCCCCTGCAGAGCATGGGCAAGGAACGGAACCAGCAGGAGCGGTAGAGCCTTTTGCATCAGGTACAGATGGAAAGGGGCATGCACTCCTGAAGCAATTGTTGACCAAGCCTCCAAGAGCTACTGAGTAGGCCTGTGTGAAGTGGCTAGTATTCGTTTGGATTCAGATTTGGCTGATTCGGGGGATGATTTGATTCAGTGATTTGAATCACTTTCCTGAATTGATTCGGCCGAAATCACCCAGGCCCATTCCCCACCCACTCGCCCACCCCGGCAATGGCTGCCCTGCCTGCCCCAGGTCCGGGCACTTGGGAAAAAAAAAAGGCCCCGCTCACAAGGTGCTGCCAGGTCAGGGGGTAATCCCCGCTGCCCCCCAATGAATGGGGGCTCTGCATGAGCTCCCTGACCACCTCCCCCAGCTGTCCCAGCCCCCAACATGGGTTCCCCACTCGCTGCACCTCCGGCCCTTTACAAAAACCCCCCCAAAACCCTGAACTTGCCAGTTCCTGCCCGGCAGGGAGTGATCCCTGCTGCCCCGTGTCATGTGGGGGGCTCTGCATGAGCCCCACAAAGCCCCAAGGCTGCTACAGGAGTTGGTGAGTCCCAGGTTTTTTTTCTTTTTTCTTTTTTTCTTAAAGGGCCAGAGCTGGGGCGGGTGGGGCAGCGGGCTTGTGAGCCCCCCATGCAGCATGGGGCAGCAGGGATTGCCCCCTGCCTGGCAGCACCCAGTGAGTGGG